TTGGGCAAGATATCCCCTCCCTGCTCTCTTCCTCCCTTCCTCCTTTCCTTTTTAACAGTGTTACCTGGTAGTCCAGGCTGGCTTCGAACTCATAACCCTGACCAGCCTCCTGAGTACTGGGATTGTAGGGATGCACTGCTATCAGCCTCTGGCTGGTATTTCCTATTGTCTAGACCCTCCCTTGTAGTCTGGTGTGATGGTGCAGACCCATAATCCTTCAACTCCTGCAGCTGGAGGCAGGGAGATCAGGAGTTCACGGGGTGAGGTCAAGACAGTGTAGGCTATGTCAGACTGCCTCAAAACAAACAGAACCCCAAAGCCTCCCTTGACCGCACTGGTCTGTCCTCTCACACCCCAGGTGGTGAAGGCTGCTGCTGATGGAGACAGAGATCGAGTCCTGAAGAAATCCCAGGATCTCAAATTCCTCACGGGCTTTGAAACCAAGGTCGGTTGCCACTGAGCAGAAGGGGCTGGTGTGTTTGCTGCTGTGTCTTCTTTAGGGGGCTAGTGTCTTTTGGGAGTGGAGGATGCAGGGGGAGGGGGAGGGGGAGCACAGACTGTGTTTCTATCCCAGGGGAGACTAGTCTATACTGAGGAGCCCCGGGGTGGATCGGAGGGTGTGGCTACTCGGGGAGCACTATTTCTATTCTGGGGATCCTAGGTTTGAGGAGCCGAGAGGCTACTTGTCTGTAGAAAGCCTGGGCTCTTTGAGAGTAACTGGGGGTGTTGAGGATAGCCAGTGACTACTTATTACTCCTAGGGGATATTGGGCTAGCAATACAAGTCCTCCACCACTAACCCCGCCCCAGCCCAGCCCCTCACTGGTGGATTCTAGGCAAGCTCTGCCAGTGAGTCACGCCCCAGCCCTTGCAGTTTGCCTCTTCTGAAGTAATCAGAGGACATTGTGTCTGTCTGGATGCATCTGCCATCCCCACCCTAGGCATTCTCCGACGCCCACGTGGAGGCAGTGATGATCCTGGGGGAGCCCTTTGCTGCCTCCAGTCCCTACGACTTCGGAGCTGGAGAGACGGCCCGCCGAATCCAGGGCCTCATCCCGGTGATGCTCCGGCACCGGCTGCGCCCACCCCCTGAGGAGACCTACGCCCTGCACCGCAAGCTAGCTGGGGCTTTCTTAGCCTGTGCTCGTCTCCACGCCCACATCGCCTGCCGGGACCTCTTCCAAGACACCTACCACCGTTACTGGGCCAGTCGCCAGGCACTGCCACTGCCAGCAGCCTCCTGACTAGAAGGACCTCCCTGCCGACCCCCATGACAGACTCCATCCGGGGATACCAGCACCACAGCGGGCGGTCCTCTGTTCCGGCTCTTGCCCCCTCCCCCTCTGTCCTGGCTCCAGAGCCTAGTTCCTTGCCTTGGATCTTCGGGCCCCTGGAGTTAGCTCCCTGACCAAAGTGGGCATCCTGGAATTCTAAAGCTGGCAGTCAGCAGATTCCTGCCTTCATCTAAGTGAGCCCTTGGTCCTTTCATGGGGTTCACTGTCGTCTGGAGGGGGCGCCCCTCGGCCGCGGGTCTCCCAGGATCCGCAGGAGAAAGGGGAGATGGTGGCTGTTGGAGGCGGTCCTCACCTTTGCCTCCCTCGCTCTACCAGCTGCCTTCTTCCGGGGTTCCAGCCTGTGTATTGGAGGATGGGGGTGGGTGCCGATCCTTCTCTCCGAATAAAGGCACCCTTTCCCTTCCCCCCAGTTCTTTTCTCTCTGCACTAAGGGGGAGGAGCTCACAAGGCGGCTCCAGGTGCAGATGGCCAGACCCCCCCCCCTTGTCTAGGGCCATCTGTTGCGGGGAACCTCCTCCACCCCCCCTCCACGTGCTGACCACCTGCTCCAGGGCTGTGGCAGCTGAGAAGTAGCCTCCTATCACACGAACTCGCCCCCCACCCCCAGCTTCAGGCTCCCTCCTGACAACCTCGCCTTTGCTAATGGGCCCTAATGCCCCTACCAGCTGCTTTGCCAAACCCACAAGACCGGAGTGGGGGTGCAGCAGAGTCCAGAACTAGGACCTGGTCCTAGCCCAATGCCTTCTCTCCGCAAGCCAGCGTGATCTCCCTCCAGGATGCCGGGGTCTATTCCTTCCCCCTCCCCTCGCCTGGCCTGCAAAAAGTGCCTCGTCACCGCTTCTGCCCGCCCCCGCCGGGCTGGGAGAACCGTGGGGTTAAGCAAGATTTGAGGACGTCAGGGCGCCTCCTAAAGCAATTCTTCAGAAGCAGAACCACAGGGGATCTGAGGTCAGGGGTTACGGAAGGAAACAGAACCTATGCCTGAACCAGAGAGGCAGTCCACCAGGGATGCGAGCGGGTTCCCGCAAGGCCAGGCCAAGGGGCGGGGCGGGGCGGGGCGGGCCTCTGCATGGGAGGAGACGGGGTAGTATTTGCGCGGGGGCGTGGTCCGCGGGAAGGCGGGGTCTCTCTTGCATATACAGCAGGCGGCGGGCCAATGGGCGGGGCAGGGGCGGGGCGCCGAGAGAGGGATGCTCCCCCGCCCCCGGAACGGAATCCTCCGGGGAGCCGAGCTGGCTCGCGCGCTTGCATCCCGCACCAGCCGCCGGCCCCGGGCCCGGCCCGCGTCAGACCGAGCCGCCGCCGCCACAGCAGCAGCAGCACTCGGGAAGCCGGGCCCAGCCGGGGCCGCGGGAGGCGGGGGCGCCCGGGCCCTGGATGTCCCGCAGCGCGGCGGCCAGCGTGAGAAGGGCGGGCGAGGGGGGCTCGGGCCGGGGGCGGCGCCGCTGCTGATGTGGCGGAGGGTGGGAGGCGGCAGCAGCGCCCGGATGGAAAGGAGATGCCAAGGCTGGAGAGGGTGGTCCTGGGTGGGGGTCTGGGAACAGGCTCCTGGCAATCCCAAACCTGCCAGACTGGGGTCTCCAGCGCAGGCCATCTCTGCGAAGGCCCTGGAAATAAGGATCCTGGGATACAGATTCTCCCCCCCCCCCCCAAATCAAGGACAGGGCTACATAAATTCTAGGTATAACTCCCTGGGCAAGGTTTGGTGTTCAGGGTCCGGGACACAGTTCCTTTTTATCAAGCTAAGGCCTTAACTGAGCCGATTCCAGACAAAATCCGTACTCTTCCCTGCCAGAGGGGATCGTCGAGCATAACAACCCCTGACTGAGGTCTTGAAGATGAGGTCCCTGGATAGAGCTGCCAAGGCCAAGGCTGAGGGGGGTGGGGGTTCATCCAAGTACTGTCTACTCCCAGGGGTCCTGGTTCCAGCCTGCCCCCCCTCCCCTCAGCCCTTGGGCGGTGTCCCAGGCAAATCCCCTTCTCAAAACAAGGTCCCTGTGTCTGGAACTCCACCCTAGCATGAATAAAATAAGGAGAATTTCAGGCATTCCCCTACCCCCACCTCCACCCCATGCTTAGTCAGGGGTCTCAAGACATTGGTCTCCTAGGCCACCCCCTTTGTCCCTAGGGCTGCTCAGCTGTCTAAGAGAGGCCCCACCCGGAGACAATGCTCAGCTTTCTCTTGCCAGACCTAACCCCCCAGACTCCAGAATTCAGCCTGGGCTGGGGGCGGCTCCCCAGAGACCCGGTGGAAACCTGTCTGCAGCCTCTGTGGTGACCAGCGGCTTTGTGTGTGGTATGGGGTGGGGAGGGTGCAAGGGTTGGGGAGGTGGCTAGAAGTGTGACCTGGTGTTTGTGTGACTGTGTGTGTGCTTGCCTTGCAGCTGGCAAGGATAAGGAATCCTACGTTGTCTATCTGCATGCTTGTGGTTGGATGTGGTGGTGTCTGTGGTGGTGTGTGTGTGACCCCAGTGTTTGTGTGACTGTGGATGTGAATGACAGCTGCTCACTGTGCAGGCTCCTCTACTTTTTAGATTGTGTTTAGATGGATGCGTGGTTGGGAGGTTGTATCTGTGGTCATGTCTTTTGTGACCCTGTGTATGCATGTGTGTGTGTGTGCGTGTGTGTACACGCATGCGTGCGTCTTGGTATGTGTCAACATCTGTGTTGGGTTTGGACTTGTGTGTGTGTCTGACTGAAGAGGTGGGTGGAGTTGTGACAGTGTGTAAGTAGAATTGTGACTGTGGCCATATGTGGCACAAGGCTGTGCTTATGTCTAACTGATTTTGTATATGTGAGTGACACTGTGCAGTGCACCTCCGGGTGTGTGAGTGCCATTGTATTTGAAGTCATATTGTGCCTGTGTGACTGGGTCTGTGGGATGGCAGTGTGTATGACGGCGGCTGTGTGTTCCTAGCCATGTCTGTCTACGTGACTGGGGCTGTGTAAATGGCTCTCCACCTAGCTGTGTGATACTGAGTATGTACGACAGGCACCTATATGTGATCTGAGTTGTGAAGATCTGAAACTCTTGTCTGTTACGGAAGGTTAGTTGTATGGGACTCAAGCTGTGGATGTTGCCTGTGTGCTCTGGGAGTATGGAGGTGACTGGCTGTGTGTGTGTGTGTGTGTGTGTGTGTGTGTGTGTGTGTGTGCCTGTGTGTGCCTGTGTGTGTGTGTGTGTGCGCGTGTGCGCGTGCGCCTGTTTGTGTGTGTGCCTGTGTGTGTATGACCCAGTTGTCTGTGACCCTGGGTGACTCTGTGCTGGTGTCCTAGACTGTGAAAGTGTGTGTGCGTATGTGTGTATCTATGTGATTTGGTGATGAAGTGACTGTATATGCTGTGTCCAGGACCATGTTTTCCATGGAAAGCCAGCTATAAATGCTATGACTAGGTCATTCCATTTATGTGTACACCTAATTGGTTTTTTTTGTTGTTGTTGTTTTGTTTTGGTTTTTTTGGTTTTTTGAGACAGCTTTTCTCTGTGTGTAGTTTTGGTGCCTGTCCTGGATCTCACTCTATAGACCAGGCTGGCCTGGAACTCACAGAGATTCACCTGGCTCTGCCTCCCAAGTGCTGGGATTACAGGCATGTGCGACCACTGCCTGGCTTTTTTTTAAAAGAATTTATTTATTTTTATTTTATGTGCATTGGTGTTTTGACTGCATGTCTGTCTGTGTGAGGGTGTCAGATCTTGGAGTTACAGACAGGTATGAGCTACCATGTGGGGTGTTGGAGTTTGAACCTGGGTCCCCTGGAAGGTGTTTTAAGCTTCTGTGTGTGAGACTTTGATATTAGTGGGGCTGTGACTTTGTGTATCTGTCCACATAGGGTAGTGATTGATTATATGTGGCCACATTCTTGTCTACGTGACTTGAATCCTCATGGAGACTGTTTCTCTGTGATAGGGTAACATGGTACTGCTGTGTATGGGACACCAACATGACAGATGGCTGGGCACCATCGGCACTGATGCAGAGTGACACCATCCACAACTGTGCTGTCAGAGGGCAGCCATCCTTGGGCCCCTGGACCTTTGGCTGATTGCATGCTGTGTCTGTAATGCTCGGGCTGTGGCTATCAGTATCTGCAATGTGCGGCTGTGTAGAGAGTGGTTTATACATGACAGTGGTCGCCATAGAGGAGTATGCCGTGGCTGTGATGACCAAATGTGGGCATGTCACTCGTCACGTGTGGCTCTGTGAAAGTGTGGAACCAAAAGGTGTGTTGATGTAACTGGTACTGTTTGAGGCTGAATGGCCTTCTGCAGCTACAGCTGGGTGTGACTGGGGTGACGAGCGGGGAGAACCGGACTTGGGAAGGCCAGTGTGCCTCAGTGCCTGTAGGCGTGGGAGTGTGTGCGGATGTGATTGTGTCACTGTATGGGTGACCGATCTGTGTTTCTACCTGGGGTGTGTGCCTCAGGAGACACAACTGTCATGAGGATGACATGTATCAACCTTATGCGTGTGCCTGGCCCAGCTCATTGTACATAGCTAAGAAAAGGCGTGGACAGTATCAGTTGTTGGTATGAGCGGGTGCCTCTGTGGGCTGAGACACACATGCATGTGGACAAATGGCCGTAGTAGAGCTGTGCGTGCCGGTGAACACAAACATGTGGCCAGATGCTAGTGACTGTTGTGTCATAGGACCTGAGGTGTATGGCTGTTATGATGTCTGTGTCATAAAGTATGCTGAGCTGTGACCAAATGGCTGAGAAAACTGTTGGCTGCCAGGTGTGAGTGGCTGTTTGTGTATAATCCTGGACATGACACTAGAGGGCACAGCCACTCACTTCACATCATCCCCGTGGGTATAGAGGGACCCATCAGTGTCCCCCAACACACCTACTCCTTCCTGGGCCCTTAGAACCAGGTGGCTGGTCTCCCTAGTAACAGTTGCTATGACTACCAGGGTTTTTCCTAGGGAGCCTGAGATGGAGGGGGTTGGCTAAGGTCCAAGGTGGGGGTTGAGTAGGGCACTGAATCCCCCTCAACAAACTTCTCATCTCCTCACTCCCTTGAGCAGGGTGGACCCAGGAGACCTGATCAGCATTCGTCCCCAGCCCCCTGTGGGGCCTCGGGGCCCCCTGAAACCTTCAGGACGGAGTCAGGTGAGTGACCAGCTTAACGAAGGACAGAGTTTGTATCGTACATGGATCATGGTTGTGACTAGTGTGACCGGAAGAGCTGCCAACCACTGTCACATAGGCTTCATTGCTTACTCAGTGACCATCAAAGCCCCCACAGTCACAGACACAGATCCTAAACTTTCACCTACAGACACCAACATCTTCTTACACGCAGTGATTATGTACAGATTAAACTCTTGCAGGCATACACACTCAGACCCTCACACACCCATAGATTTATAGTTCAAGCTACATACATGGATGATCTCCACATGCTTGTCAAAATGCAGCAACAAGCACACTTCCAGATCCCTTAAGTAGCTACTTATTCACACTAACACACAGACACATGTGTTCATATGCACATATCTACAGACCCTCCCAGATACACACAGGCAACCACCGGCATTCACTCACTATACACCCATTCTTAGAAACACATGAGGGCCTCTAATCCCAGCACTTGGGAGGCTGAGGCATGAGGATCAGGAGTTCAAGTCCAACTTCAGCTACCTAGCAAGCTTGAGCCCAACATGGGCTACATGAGACCCATCTCTAAAGCTGTAAGATGTTGGTGTTTGCCTATAATCCCAACACCAGGAGGCAGAGGTAGGCAGAACTCTCTGAGTTTGTTGTCAGCCTGGTCTACACAGCAACTTCTAGGCCAGCCAGGGATGCACTGAAAGATGATGATGATGAGGAGGAGATACATGTTGACAGTCCCCACCTAGTATGCGCAGACCCACAGATCCAGACAGCAGTGTCTCCTTTATCTCAGGCTGGCTTTGAACTCACTATGTTACCATGACCTCTGCCTCCATTACTCTCAAGTGAACTGAAGGCATGCGCCACCATGCCTGGTTTACGCAGTGCTGGAGATGGAACACAGGGCTCCCTACACGTTAGCGATCAGCTCTGCTATGACTTCAGCTCTGACAGCTCCACTTCTGTAGACCGACAGCCTCACCAACAGCACCTGTGAACCCCAAAAGCGCTACGCTTTTGCTCACACTCTCACAAACAGTACTCAGTACTCTCAGACAACAGCCACTCAGTCAGAAATCACTCTGATGGCCATGGTCTCAATCCAGCTACACACATCATTGGCAAACATACTGTCAGCCCGGAGAATGACGTGGGATAGCCCTGCTTTGGGTTTTGAATGAGTGAACTTATTAAATATATAGCAAGCAAAAGTAAAACAATAAATACCGAGCAGCAGATGGAAGAAGTAGACGGCGGAACATCAAATGCGCTCTCACAACATCCAGCAGACACAGCTGGAGTGGCCTAACTGAGAAAGCAAATAAAAGCGTCAACATCCTCACCAAAAGCCCCCGACATACAGTCTTATTAACAGCTCCCTCTTGGACTCATACTCTCAGAGGCAACATCTGTAAATGACAATAGTCATATCCTCTCATAGAAACATTGCTCTGTGGAAAACAGTCATGGATACACCCCTTCAGGGCCAACAATCCAGCCAGAGCAACATGCACAGAAAATCCAAGCTCTCATAGACAGTAACTATACAGAGACACATAGCATGCACCAGTGCACACGTGTGGGCACTCGGACATGCATGCCCTTCAGCAGAAATCTCCAGAGACTCGTGTTCACAGATCACAAGCCACTCTTGGGGATGCGGAGACCCTCACAGGCAGCACACAAAGACACACCAACAATCATTCATCTGAGGATTCTGTCTACAGCCTGCCTCGCAGACACACACTCCCTCGGACTGTTACGAGCACACACCACCCCTGGGGCCCCGCTTAATCTGCACCCAGTTGTCAGAGACCTGTACACGTTACATTCTCTCTCTCTCTCTCTCTCTCTCTCTCTCTCTCTCTCTCTCTCTCTCATATTCTCACTTTCTTGTTCTCTCTCTCCTCGATCTTCCTCCCTCGCCCTCTTTCCTTGCCTCTGTGTCTCTTTTTACCCTTGAACTTGGAGTTGAACTTCTGACCTTACGTGCTAGCCAAGTGCTAGCTACGTTTACCTAGCTACGTGTTCTTACCTCTGATTACCTTCTCCACTGGCCCTCATATCCTCAACACCCTTGACATTATGACCCCTAGTCCTCAAACTCCAGTGTCCTGACCTCTCATTCCTTGGCTCTCTGTGGTTCTTTCCCATGATACCCCAAACCTCAGAACCCCCAAAGCCCATGACCTGCTTTCCCACCCACCCAGACCTCCATGTCCCTTGCCGCGTGTCCCCAAAGCTCTGAATGTCCAACTCTGGAATCCTCTACATAACCAATATGCACCAAGCAGAGCTGCTCCCCCACACCTGCTCATCTAGCAAGCCCTTGACTGTAGCCTCCTTGCCATACCTCTTACCCCCATCTTTGACCCATACTCCTGTCCTGTGTCACTAGACGGGGCGGGCACCATGAACAAGTTACGGCAGAGTCTGCGGCGGAGAAAGCCAGCCTATGTGCCTGAGGCATCGCGCCCACACCAGTGGCAGGCAGACGAGGATGCGGTGCGCAAGGGCACGTGCAGCTTCCCTGTGAGGGTGAGTACACAGGGTGGGTGGTAGACTAGGTCACTTGTTTTGTGCCTGTTGTGTGCTTGATGACCCTGGGGCACTGGGCAAAAATTATCAAAAGCTCATTGCTGTGAGATCTGCACTGTGGGGCTGTGTGTTATGAGCTGTGTGTTATGCTGTGACTTCCAGACTTCCCATAAGGCCCTGCTTACAGGCAAGACTCTAGCCACTGAGCTGTATACACACACACACACACACACACACACACACAAACACACACGCTCCACAACCCTCCTTTTTCATTTTCAGGCTCTGACTCATTAAGTTGCTCAAGCTGGCCTTGAACTTACGCTGTAGCTCAAGCTGGCCTGGACTCAAGATACTCCTACCTCCCCTGCACTGACAGCATTCCTAACGCATTCTGTCTTACACCAGTTATTACCTGGGGGATAATTCTGCAGGTTAGTGAGTTGTCACCCAGTTCCTCAGGGGCTCACAGATAACATGCACTAGAAGGTCACAAAAAGCTGGCAACATTTGCAAGGCGCTTTTCTTGTTCTGGGCATTCTGGTTTAAGACATATTCCACTCTCCAGGGAGATGATTGGATTCTGGCCTGAGCTGTGGGATTCAGCCCTTCTCCCTTCTCATCTGGGAGACTAAGGCTAGGTCTACAGCCTGATTTTCTCTTCCCTAGAAATGAACCCAAAATGTGAGAGGTTCATGTGGCAGGCACAGGAAGTGCTGGGAAAGTGGAGAAAGAATGTCAGTTAGTAAGGGGGCATCTGTTAAATGAAACCATACTTACCACCTTTGTACTGCAGGGCTGGGGCATGGCTTAGCAGGAGATACTTGCCTAGAACTCCCCAGGGAGGGGCTGGGGGCGTGGCTTAGTGGTAGAGCCCCTGCCTAGAATCCCCCAGTAAGGGGCTGGGGTGTGGCTCAGTGGTAGAGCCCCTGCCTAGAATCCTCCAGTGAGGGGCTGGGGGTGTGGCTCAGTGGTAGAGCTCCTGCCTAGAACTCCCCAGTGAGGGGCTGGGGGCGTGGCTCAGTGGTAGAGCCCCTGCCTAGAATACCCCAGTGAGGGGCTGGGGGTGTGGCTCAGTGGTAGAGCCCCTGCCTAGAATCCCCCAGTGAGGGGCTGGGGTGTGGCTCAGTAGTAGAGCCCCTGCCTAGAATCCCCCAGTGAGGGGCTGGGGTGTGGCTCAGTGGTAGAGCCCCTGCCTAGAATCCCCCAGTGAGGAGCTGGGGTGTTCCTAAGTGGTAGAGCCCCTGCCTAGAATCCCCCAGTGAGGGGTGGGGGTGTGGTTCAATGGTAGAGCCCCTGCCTAGAATCCCCCAGGGAGGGGCTGAGGGTGTGGCTCAGTGGTAGAGCCCCTGCCTAGAATCCCCCAGTGAGGGGCTGGGGGTGTGGCTCAGTGGTAGAGTCCCTGCCTAGAATCCCCCAGTGAGGGGCTGGGGGTGTGGCTCAGTGGTAGAGCCTCTGCCTAGAATCCCCCAATGAGGACCTGGGGGGGGCGTGGTTTGGTGGTAGAGTGCTTATCTAGCATATGGAAGGCCTTGGATTCCATCTCCAGCATGAGGAGGTGGGAGGTATGAGGACACAACCAAAAACTTAAAATTGCAACTCTGAGCAATCAAGTTTAGTCTCACTGGAGATTCTGGGGATAGTCACTGCATCTACAGGGAACCCTGATTTCCATTTGACATTGTAGGAAGAAGGGTGGGCACTGATGTGAGTGTGTGTGTGTGTGTGTGTGTGTTTTCACGTGTGCACATTAGGGATTAAACCAAATGCCTTAGCCAGGCATGATGGCATATGCCTTTTTATTTTTTAAACACGAGACAGGGTTTCTCTGTATAGCTCTGGCTGTCCTGGAATTCACTCTGTAAACCAGGCTGGCCTCCAATTCGGAGATCTGCCCGTGGCACATGCCTTGAATCCTAGCACTGAGGAGGCAGAGGCAGTTGGGTATCTGAGGCCAGCCTGGTCTACAGAGTGAGTTCCAGGACAACCAGGGCTACATGAGAAATTCTGTCTTGAAAAAACAAAACAAACAAAAACAAAAACCAATGTCCTTGTGCGTGCTAGGCAAGCAGCCCACCACTGAGCTACATTTCCAGCACTGACCTGTGCTCTGTTGAACTGATGTCAGGGTAGGTAGAGCAGCCTTGTGACCTCCATCATGTCCTCAGGCACACAGAAGCACGCTGGCCCTCAGAAGGCCGAGAGTGCCGTGTGACGGCCCAGCAACAGAGGCCGGACACAAATCTGCTGTATGTTTTTCTCAGCTGTGTGTCTGGGCTAGGAATGTGGTTCCTACCTTATGGCCTGGAGGTGCAGAATGAATGAATACACCCGATGAGCTGAGAACTGTGGCCCTGAATGTGAAGATGTGCAGTGATGCTGAGAATGATTGATTACTGTGTTTATTTCATTTCTTCCCTTCCCCCCACCCAAGTACCTGGGCCACGTGGAGGTAGAGGAGTCCCGGGGGATGCATGTTTGTGAAGATGCCGTGAAGAAGTTGAAGGCGGTGAGTGAGGGGCTGGATCCAGGGAGGAGGCGAGAGCAGCCGGAAGAGGTAATCCTGACCAGGCCTCTCTGTTCCCTGCCCTCACCCCAGATGGGCCGGAAGTCTGTGAAGTCTGTGCTGTGGGTGTCAGCTGATGGGCTCCGAGTGGTGGATGACAAGACCAAGGTAGGAGGTCTGTATTGGGGCGGAGGAAGGCTTTCCACCTGCCCTGGGGTACTCCTGCCCAGGGGGCCTTCTAGACTCCGCCATGTGTGCCTGCATCAGCCTGGCTGACTGCAGTGCTAATTCGGGAACGAGGGCTGTGGTTATTTGAGAGCTGGTATGGAGAGGGGGTGGGTGAGTGCACGAACTGGGGCAGCCACCTCGGCACCAACCCCAGCCACCCCCGCACCAACTGAGGAACCCTGGGCACAAGATTTAACCCCCACTGGGCTCCCGTTGCCTCTTCTTAAAAAAAAAAAAAAAAAAAATAGGGCTGGTAATAGACCCTATCTATCATCAAATCAGGAAGTCTGTGTGCATGAGCTGTAAAATGGGGCTGGAAGGATTGTACAGTAGTTAAAGCACTTGCCGTGGAGGCGTGAGGATGTGAGTGCTAGTGTCCCACCTGTAAATCCAATCTCAGAAAATCTCCAGAGCAAGCAGGCTAGCAAGACTAGCCGTATCAGTGAGCTCTGGGTTTGATGAAGAGACCCTGCCTCAATGATTAAGATGGAAGGGTGGCTGAGGATGATTACCAATCTCAGCCCTGGCTCTCCATGTGCACACACATGCTCCCCCCTCCCCCACAGTGGAAAAAGTGGGGGACCACCAAAAACACTTCGGCCAGGAGCTGGGGTGTGGTGGTGCAGGTATGTGATTCTAGCATTAGGGAAATTGAGGCAGGAGGATTACAAATCCAAGGCCAGCCTGAGCTTCATGCTGAAAAGAAAAAAAACATTAAAAAATAAATAAATAAAAACTTGGCATACCAACATGGCTTTGGTTTTTATTTTAATTGAGACAGGGTCTGGCATAACCCTGGCTGGCTTCAAACTCACTCTTTTGCCAAAGATGGTCTTGAACTTCTGGGCCTCTTGCCTGTACCTCCCGAATGCTGGGATGGCAGGCATTCATCACCATGCCTGGTCCCCGCTGTGCTGGGGATGCGGCCTAGGGTTTCTCCTGTGTTAGGCAAGTGCTCTACCACCTGAGCATAGCCCAGCCATATTTTGTGTTTAGACAAGATCCCCAGGATCCAGGATCTGGGACGTTTTCTGAGATAGGGGAGTGAGGATTCTAGAAGCAGGTCCTTGTCCATGGTCCATGCTAGGCCAACAGCTGGGCCATTGATCTATCACCTGGCTCCCCTTTGCCTCCCCTGACGCTAGCCTGGAGGTGCCCAGGACATGCTGGGGGTGTTGAGAGTCACCTTTGCACGGGCAGTTCCTTTGCCTGAATGCTGTTCCCTGCCTTCTTGCCTAATTAATTCTGCCTCCAGAAAGCCCTGCTGGAGTCTGGGTTAAATGGTACTTCCTGGCTCCTGCAGGCCCTGGAGTGGAGTCTTTCTCCTAATAGCCTGACTGTGCCTCTAGGCTGTCTCCTCCATCTCAGATGGATCTGACAGGCTGAATCATGATCCTGGGACAGGCTGGCCCATGGCTGTCTCCATGACAAAATCAAAGCAACCTTTGATTCAGGATGAGATCATGTCACCCATGCACGCAGGAGAGATGGTTTACACTGCCTGCCTCCTCAACCCTTCCTAGGACCTTCTTGTAGACCAGACCATTGAGAAGGTCTCCTTCTGCGCTCCTGACCGAAACCTGGACAAGGCTTTCTCCTACATATGTCGTGATGGCACCACACGCCGCTGGATCTGCCACTGCTTCCTGGCACTCAAGGACTCCGTGAGTTCTCTCCCTCACTCTGCATGCCCTGGGCACAAGTGCTGGGCCTCTTTGTACCTGAGCCTCTCATCTCAAGAAGGAAGTGTGTGCAGGTTATGGTGGTGCCTTGAATCCCAGCACTCTGGAGGCTGAGGCAGGTGTCTCTCTATGAGTTTGCGGCCAGCCTGGGGTCTACTTAGTGAGCTCTAGGTTATCCAAAACTACACAGTGAAACCCTGTCTTAAAAGACAAAACAGCTGGGTTGTGGTGGCACACGCCTTTAATCCCAGCACTCGGGAGGCAGAGGCAGGCGGATCTCTGTTAGTTCAAGGCCAGCCTGATCCACAAAGCAAGTTCTAGGACAGCCAGGGCTACACAGAGAAACTCTGTCTTGGGGGGTGTGGGGGGGGGATGTGCATAGTCTCTAATGTTGAGGAGTCTGAGATATGAGTGGGTTAGTTCATGCATACCAAGCACCAAGGAAAACATTGGTTATCATCACACACTTATCAGTTTTACTATTATTGTGTGTGTGCACTCCTGATTGTATGTGTGTGTATCATGTGCATTGCAGATACCTATAGGGGCCAGAAGAGGGCATCAGATTCCTGGAACTGGAGTCTCAGACAGTTGTGAGCTGCCTGATACAGGGGCTAGGAAAAGAACCCAGATCCTCAGCAAGAGCAGCAAGCACTCTTAACCACTGAGTTATCCAGCCCTTGGCCTCAAAGTTTTGATCTTCTGTCTCTGTCTCTTAAATGTCAGGATTACAGAAGGCATTCACCCTCAAGCTCAGCAGTTCCACAAAATTTTGCTTATGCGTCAGGCACACTGTAGTCAAGATAGTTTTCTGCCCCAGGAGGCTCCCTTGGGACCTTCTCAATGTCTTGATCGTTTCCAGGATTCCTTCAGCCTCAGTATACTTTGTTTGTGGTTCTTTTCTTTTTTCGGAATTATTTATTTATTTTTAAAGATATTTTGGGGGTCTGGGGAGATGGCTCAGGAATTAAGAGCACTTGTTGCTCTTGCACAGGGCCAGGATTTCATTCCTATCACCTACACAGCAGTTTATGACCATCCACAACTCCAGTTCCAGGGCATCTGGTACCCTCTTTTAGCCTCTGTGGACTCCAGGCATGCACACAGTGCACTTCCATAGACACAGGCAAAACTATCATACACATAAAAATAAAATGCCTCTTTTAAAAGTAGTCTGGGCGTGGTAGTACCCACCTTTAATCACTGCCCTTGCTGGTAAGAGACAAGTGGATCTCTGTGAGTTCAAGGCCAGCCTGGATTGAATTCCAGGCCATCCAGAACTACATAGAGAGACCACATACCAAAAACAAACAAACAAACAAAAAAAAACCAAAACACAAACAAACCACCAAAAAAAAAAAATTAAGATTTATTTGGGACTTGAGGGATGGCGTGGTGGGTAAAGGTGATTGCTGCTAAGCCTGACTCCCTGAGTTCAACCCCCAGGACCCACATGGTGGAAGTAGAAAACCAACTCCCTATGACCTATACACACACACACACACACACACACACACACACACACACACACACAAACAATGCTAAAAAATTGCACTATATTGTTTTATTCCTTGTGTGTGGTGGGAGGAGAATGTAATGGTTTTAACAGTTATCTGCTTGACTTTGTAACAAATTGCTCTGAAATTCTGTAGCTTATAATTACACTTACTTTTTTTTAATTATTTACTTTGTGGTGTGTGTGTGCGTGCCGTGCCAAGTACACGTGGACCACAGTGCATGTGACCATCAGAGGACAACTTCCAGAACTTCCAGAAGTCGGTTCTCTCCTACCATGTGGGTCCTGGGGACTGAACTCAGGTCATCGACCTTCATGCCAAGTGCTCTCACCCACTGAGCCATCTTGCTGGCCCTCTCTCTAGAGTCTTTAAAAATTTGAGGGAGGCCTAGCTGGGGCGTCCTGACTCAGGGCCTCTCATTTCATTACACCTCATAGGTAGTGTCTGGGGCTGTTACGTTAGGAGACCGGCTAGGTCAGCCCCCCACCCCAAAACTATCAGAGCACCCCTCCATAAATCTTTCCAGCATGGATAGACTGAAGGCTCTAAAGTGCGTCTCAAGCAAATGTGAGCGAGGAGAAGTGACTGAAGTTGTGTGGCCATTTTGGACACGGTTTTGACATCACCTCGCCTGGCCCCAAGGGACTGTGTGTGTTCAGTGAGCCACAGAGGTCTTTCCAGGTTAAGGATGGAGGTGGGGGTGGTGGGCGGTGTGGACATAGCCTCCACTTCTGTTGAGGGACTGAGAAGTTTTGGAAGAGCACATGGGGTGAGAAATTAGCTTGGCTATTTTTGGAAACTGTGCTTGCCCGTGGTTGGTGGTGTGGATTCAGTGTCCAGCCACCTGGCTGTGTGTGGGATGTTGGGCACGGTGATGTCTCCACTCTGGGGATAGCCACCGTGGCTTCTCCGAGGGTCGCTGTGATCATACACAGCCCAGTTTTCAACATGGTCCCCCAGTCCCTTCCTCCTGATGTGGCCACACAGAATGCATTTTTTTCTGCTTGTCACTTAACTTGGCTCCTTCAGTTGGCTTTTGAGGACAGACAGACAGACCTTATCTGGGCACAGGTCGTGTGTGACCTTCAAGTTTGATAACATTACTCTGTTCTCTTCCTTGTTGCCTTGAGACGGGGGTCTCTCACTGAACCGGAAGCTTGGCAGTTTGGCTAGGCTGGAAGTTCTCAGAACCCACCTCAGGTCTCTCCCTCAGGGTCGGGGTTATAGGTTACACGGAGCCATGCCTGGCCTTTTACGTGGGTGCCTAGTGATTCAAACTCAGGTCCTCAGCGTCTGTCGCTGCACCAGTGTGACCGGGTCATCTTCCCCAGACTTGCTTTGACTTTCAAAGAGAGTCTCTTGTAGCCCAGGCTGGCCTCAAATTTCCTATATAGCCGAAGATAACCTTGAACAAGTGCTGGGATTTCAGGCATAAAGCAGATTTTAAATAGCAATAATGGAACTCTTAGTATTTCTTCGGTTTAACTTTTTAAAAATTTTGAAGTGAAACATGTAAAATTGGCCAGTTTGAAGTGTACAGTGAATCTGGGCATGGTTCGAAGCCCATCCCCCTGAGCTATATAGTGACCTCTAGGTCACTCTGGGCTACCTAGGTCCCCCCCCCCAATAGATTAGTTTGCTTTGGGGGTTTTGTTTGCTTGGTTTGTTTTTTTGTTGTCTTTGTTTGTTTGTTTAAACAGGGTCTCATTGTGTAGCCCAGGCTGGCCTCAAACTCACAGAGATCCACCTTCCTCTGCCTCCCAAATGCTGGAATTAAAGGCATACACCACTCCTGGCAGATTAATTTATGTTCAAGGTTGGCTTGGGCGGTCTGGATCCCTCAGAATTCCATGTTAATTTCAGAATCAGCTTTTCCATTTCTGCAGACACCACTGGGTTTCACAGAGATTTCATTAACTGAGCTCCCTCTGGGGAACATTGTTGTCTTCCTGTATTAGCTTCCAGTCTAGGGACACAGGATATCTTTCTGCCTATTAGGCAGTCTTTAGTTTCTTTTTTGAAGTGTTTTGTGTTTCCAGCGTAGGTACCTTGTGCCTCTGTGGTTATATTTATTTGTGTGTGTGGATATGCTTGTAGAGGCCAGAGGTCAGCATGGGAGATCTTTTCTCATCACTTTCTACCTTCTTTTTGTTTCTTTCCGTTTGTTTGTTTGTTTGTTTTTGTTTTTTCAAGACAGGGTTTCTCTGTGTAGCTTTGAGCCTTTCCTGGAACTCACTCTGTAGACCAGGCTGGCCTCGAACTCACAGAGATCCGCCTGCCTCTACCTCCCGAGTGTTGGGATTAAAGGCATGTGCCACCACCTCCCGGCTGTTTGTTTTTTAAGACAGGGTTTCTCGGTGTAGCCCTGGCTGTCCTGGAATTCACTTTATAGACCAGGCCTCGAACTCACAGAGATTGTCACGCTTGACAGGAAACATGTCCACCTGCTGAGCCATCTCACCAGCCTCCACAATTGATTCTTTTTTTCTTTTCTTTTCTTTCTTTCTTTCTTTTTTTTTTTTTTTTTTTTTTTTTTTTTTTTTTTTTTTTTTTTTCCTTTTTCCTTGAGGCAGGGCCTCACTATGTAGCCCAAACTGTCCTGGAACTCACTGTCTAGACCAGGCTGGCTTTGAACTCCCAGAGATCTGCTGGTCTCTGCTTCCTGAGTGCAGGGATTAAATGACTGTGCCACCATGCCCAGCATGTCTTAATTTTTTGAGCAGGGCTCTCTATGCTGCCCGGGCTGGTCCTGATTTTCCCGGCTCAAGTGATTGCCCTGTCTCAGCCTCCCGAGTAACCAGAACTACTATTACTAACTTCTTGTTGAGGGAGTGAGGATGTAGGATCTCACTGTAGCCCAAACTGGCTTCCAAATTCCAGATCCTCCTGCCTCAGCTTTTGAAGTTCTGAAGTTACATGCAGTCCTAGCCTGTAACCACTGCATCCCGGCTCTACGCTTTGCTCATCTGGTTGGCAGATAAGCACTCAGGTCTAAGAGAGACAAAGGGAATCCGCTGGCATCCCCTGGCTGCAGACGTCCAGCCTGGTGTGACCTTTCTAACCAGGCCACCTCTCCTGCAGGGTGAGAGGCTGAGCCACGCTGTGGGTTGTGCATTTGCCGCCTGCCTGGAAAGGAAGCAGCGACGGGAGAAGGAGTGTGGAGTCACGGCTGCCTTTGACGCCAGCCGCACCAGCTTCGCCCGAGAGGGCTCCTTCCGCCTGTCGGGTGGCGGCCGGCCCGCGGAGCGCGAGGCTGGGGACAAGAAGAAAGGTGGGTGCTGTGTGCATTGGGGAGGGACGGTACAGGGCCAGGGAGAGCAGCTAGGGGTCCCTGCAGAGGAGTTGTGGTTTTCAAGACAGGGTACCATCAGCAAAGGTTGATTACGTTTGCAGAGCAAATCTCAATTTTAAGAATTCGTGAGACAGCATTCTACAGGTACCAACCTGAGCAGAGCTCACCACAGCACATTCGGTCACCCAAATCAGGGCTTCAGTAAAGCAGTTGGCATGGTGGCACTTGCCTTTAACACCATCACTCAGAGGCAGACAGAATCTCTGTGAGTTTGAGGCCAGCCTGATCTGCATAGTGAGTTTCAGGCCAGCCAGGTGATACACACACACCCACACACCCACACACTCCCCCACCCACTAACCCCCCGACACACACACACATTAACTCACAACCATCTATATATAACTCCAGTCCCAAGGGACCCAACACCCTCTTCTGGCCTCCGAGAGTACTGCACACATGTGCGCAGACACTCGCAGGTAAAACAACCCATACGCATAAAATAAAAATAAAGATTCAAAAGAGAACTTTTTAAAAAGGTGTGAAATTGTTGTCAGGTGAAGTGCCTGGTGCAGCTTCTGAGTTTACGAAGGGAACTGTGTGCAAAGGCCGTTCTGATTTCCAGGGACTCTGCACCGTGGAAAGCACTTCGCTGCTTGCACAGCCAGAGGGGAGTTTACGGTGAGGTCTGCCTGGCTGAGCCTCTCCCAGCCTGAGGCACCGCCTTTCCCACTCAGCTCACTTAGCCTGGCAGCAGAGCCCCTCACACACAAAGCTGCTTGTCAGCACTGAACTCATGGATGGCTTAACTGACCTTGCAGGGAGGTCTGGGGGAGGAACTCTGGAACACAGAGAGGGCAGGGGACTTCTTGAAGTAACACAGCAGTGAGATGGGGGGAGAGGTGGCTTCCTGTTTCCAGCGTGTCCCGGGAGACGGGAGAAGCAGCCCTAAGCAATACCCCCCCCCCCCGCCCCAGAGTAACTGGGGTACTCAAGCTGCAGCTGTGGTGAGGCTCTGATTGAAGGCGGGCAGTGTGTGTGTGGCAGAGGAAAGGGACCTGCTCTTGACGAGCCTGCCTTTTGAAATGTAGAGTCCAAAGTTTCCTCGAAGTGGGGGGGGCTGTCCCAGGGTGGGGGGAACCCAGGCTGAGGGGTTAAAACAAATTGGGAGGGTTCTGAAAGGATGTGAGCCAAATCAAGTCTAGAATCACTGGTACAACTGGAGAAAGAAGCATGTAGGGAGGGCAGAATAGTGGGAGATACAGTGGGGGGGAAGGCAGAGAAAGACCACAGGAAGTTACAGAGCCCTGTGACTTCATCAACTCAGTTTTCATATCTGTAAAGTGGCGATAATCTTGACCATGTGAGCGGTTGTGTGAAATGGATGAGTTAACATTGACAAGGCTCCTGGGGCAATGTCTCACAGCTGTTCATGTATCAAGTAAACGTAAATGATCAGGAAAGGAGAGAGGGCCCATGGGGGATGAGAGCAGCTGAGGAAGACAGAGCAGGGACAGGAAGCTACAGAGATGGAGGGTCAGGCTGGAGGACAATTTCCCAGTGGCTTCCTGAGGAAGTGATCTTAGCTTGGGTGGGAATCATGAACTTTTCAGAGTCTTGGGAACAGGATGTGTGGGGTGACAAGGTAGGGGACCAGGTGGGGCTGGATTGTAGCTCAGTGGTAGAGCCCCTGCCTAGAATCCTCCAGTGAGGGGCTGGGGGTGTGGCTCAGTGGTAGAGCCCCTGCCTAGAATCCCCCAGTGAGAGGCTGGGGTGTGGCTCAGTGGTAGAGCCCCTGCCTAGAATCCCCCAGTGAGGGGCTGGGGGTGTGGCTCAGTGGTAGAGCCCCTGCCTAGAATCCCCCAGTGAGGGGCTGGGGTGTGGCTCAGTGGTAGAGCCCCTGCCTAGAATCCTCCAGTGAGGGGCTGGAGTGTAGCTTAGCATACTGTTGGCTACTGTGCACAGCACCCTGGGTTCCATCCCCAGCACTATAAACACGAGGCCTGTTGGGCCTGGTTTCCAATGCCGTAAGTGAGGTCACTAACAAACTGCCTCTCGTGTCTTTAGCAGAGGCAGCCGCTGCTCCCGCGGTGGCTCCTGGCCCTGCCCAGCCTGGGCATGTGTCCCCGACACCAGCTACCACATCCCCTGGTGAGAAGGGGGAGGCAGGCACCCCAGTGGCCGCAGGCACCACTGCTGCTGCCATTCCCCGGCGCCATGCACCTCTGGAGCAGCTGGTTCGCCAGGGATCCTTTCGTGGGTTCCCAGCACTCAGCCAGAAGAACTCCCCCTTCAAACGTCAACTGAGCCTGCGGTTGAATGAGCTGCCGTCGACACTGCAGCGCCGTACCGACTTCCAGGTGAAGGGCACAGGTGAGCCCTGGGATCAGGAGGATGGAACATCAGAATCAGCACCGTCTGTCGGGGGGCAAGGGATAGAGGAGAGATGGTATACAGTGTGATCGATTAGCACTGTCTGCCAGGGGCAAAGGTTAAACATGTGGAACATATGGTCATTAACAATGTCTGCCATGAGCAAGGAACAGAAGCGAGCTAGCACAAATCATGATTGATAAGTCGTGTCTGCTATGGGAAAAGGGTGTCTGCTCTAGATATGTAGTACAGTCATGATCAGTTAATAGTTCCTGCTGTTACTCTGGGAAAAGGCAAGGAGGCACACATGCCTGCTTCCGGCAGGTAAGTCTACCATGGGCAAGGGAAAGAAAAGAGGCAACATAGATGTCCTTTATGTCCAGGACAAAGGCACCATAACTTAATGCTCTTTCCAAACATTTGATGGATGTCTATGACATGTACTAAATGAATGATAAAAGGATCTCTCTGGCTCAGGAAAGGAGAGGATTGCGATCGATTAGCAATGTCTGCCTTGGTCAGAGAGAGTAGAGGGACAGCACACATCATGATACCCTGATGTCTGCCTTGAGCAAAGAGATCGATTTGGAGCATGACTGTAGGCTACATGATTAATTGAGCAAAAATTTCCCTGGGCCAGGCAGAAAAGAGAGCTACTGTATATTCTGTGTTTGCCTAAAGGAGACTTCCAGAATTTGGTCAAGAGAATTACAAAATCTGTCCAAGTAATGGGTAGAGTAGTAAACAAAGGGCACAGTGGAGGTGGGGTGCTGGGGAATCATTGTATTTGATTATTAATGTCTGTCCTGGGCCAGGGAAAGAAAAGAGGTGCTGTTTGTTGTGACCTAGAAGCAATATCTGAGTGAGGCATGCTGGCACACACCCATGTTCCAGCGCTCCAAAGGAAGAAGGATCGTGATTTCAAGGCCAGAATGGGCTACCTAGCAAGATCCTGTCTATGAAAGCAATGTCTGCTCTGGGCAGGAAAATGAAAGACTTGGTGCAGCACAATGCTGTTGCCACAGGGAACCAGGTGAGGGGCTGTGGAGAGGTCCTGAAGCCAGAGTCTGACTTCCGCTGCTTCCACATGCCTCATGTGGGACTCCGGCTCCCCTGGCTGCGGAGATGGGTATGGGAGCATGTTAATTCGTTTCCGCTGGGCTAAGGGCAGGTGACAGCGCATACTGAGAATGATACATACTCCATGTCCTGCAGCACTCCTTGGCTGCCACACCCTCACATTTGCTTCATGCACCCTGACATCAATCACACATGGGGCTGTCAGGCATGTGTTGAGATGCAGGCCTCCCAAGCTCAAGTCAGAGCCTCACACTCCTGCGGCCAGTTGCACACTCACTTGAGAGTGAGTATCCATACAGAAATTTCACGTTCTGACATACACAGTGCCACAGACACTGGAAGTCACAAACTCAGAGTTACATGTGTGCGGAATCACCTGCACACTGAAGTCGCACATACACCAGAGGTCTGCACTCAGAAGTCACATGCCCAGATTACATGTTTAAAATGCCACACACTTAGCTTCTCACAAACTCAAAAATCTCCTACATGCAGAGTCTCAGTCTCTCTCTCTCTCTCTCTCTCTCTCTCTCTCTCTCTCTCTCTCTCTCTCTCTCTCTCACACACACACACACACACACACACACAC